AATGTTAAAAAATTTAATTATAATATGGAATTGAACCGAACCCGAACAGTTCCAAAATTATATTTGAAACCGATGGTTTCATTTACTAAATATCCGAAATTTTCTGGAACCGAACAAAACCGAACCGAACCGACCCGTGCCCACCCCTAGGTATGCATGATACATACTTGACACATCACAATTTAATTAATTAATTCTCTTGCAATTAGTAATAAATTATAACCCATATAATTTATTCTTGTTCTTATTTTGAAGCCATGGAATGAGCCCAATCAGATTCAATTAAACTAAAATTCAATAAATTAATCTTGATTCGATCAAGATAATTTATTAATTTCATTATATTCCACTAAATAAAAGAAATTGAGCACTTAGATTAATTGAAATTACTAAAATCTATATAAACAATAGTTATATGGTAATTATATTCACATTACAATTTTTATTTCTTGCACCACCTTTTAATTGTATTTAAGGTTCTTAACCTTTACACATTATAACACTTATGTCTCTTATGATTTTTTAAGTCATTCTAAACATATATTTCTCGATAATTTCACTTTTTTATTTTTCAAGGCATAGAGATCTCACTCCATTGATACCCCAAAGAATTTCAAGTTAGTAATTGAAGTTCATTACCGCTCAAGATTCAAGTGAAATTAAACTCATGTTATCAATTTTATAGATTAAATTTCAAGGATCCACTCCAATACATTCCAAAATGTACACTTAATTTTATTACTTAAAAAAACAATGAACTTAAATAAAACTGAGGCAATTATCTCAAAATAAAGTGTTCGTCTTTGATTACCGATTATGAGTAATAGACATTAGATCGAATTGTTCTATGGTTATTAACTTAAGCACCAATTTTGATTAATGAACAAAATACCAGTATAAACTAATATTTTATTTTAAATGTCATACGTACAAATAAATTTACTTGACAAGAACACACTTATCCAACAGTGACCTTTATATTCCCAAACATCTCTTTACATTCGACCTCTGAGGCATGAGGACTTCGTCCACCCAAAATCTCTTTACACTTAACA